ATAAGCAAAGTAGCGTTAGGACATGATATAACAAGTTGAGATAGCGACTGAATTGGTTAACAATAGTACATTATACACCTAGGGAATGAAGTGGTATTTTGAATCCATAGACAAAAAGTTTTGCCAAGAGATTTGAAAACACTTCAGTCCCTATATCCTATTTTATGCATGTTAGGATAGGTTGAACGTTTAAAATCAGGAAAAAAATTAATTGCCACTATACACGGTAGCTACTTTATTTCTAAGATGTCATCGAAGGGGCTGATTGTTATCATATCAACGACCTCAGTAACTATGGTGATCTAGATTTCGGGAAAAAAAGTGGTACTTCAAATACCTAGTACCACTGAAATTAGGGAGCAAAGGTACTCTTTAAAACTCTGAAGTGCATGAACTAATTAAAATACCTAATGATGAGAGAGTGACAGAATTATGACAGTGCGGTGACAGCAAGAACGTGATGGACCTAGGATAAAGAAGTTATGAAGCTATGTGATAAAAAAGCAAACAGTTATTTGGGGATAGGGGATAGATCTGTAATTTGACAAAATCCTATTGAAAGTATCTGAACAACTTAACTCAATGATGTTCTGAGATTACACGGAATTCATTGCAGTTTCAATTACTCCCTATTAATACTGCCGGTGAATCCATTCAGTAAATCAAACTACGTCGCACTTCCTTATTGATCCAGAACGAACATGAGGTAGGTCACGTAGGCACTAGTGGAAAATGGAGATTGGATCGACGCCGAATACTACCCCTAAACTGCTCCCCAAAGTAATTGCTCCCCTGAAATTTCAGTTATATATTATATACGTTTTTTATTGCGTATTCGTTTCATGAGGCAGACATATTGGACGCCTATTTTGACGTTTCAATCAAGTATTTCAAAGATCATGGAGAAAGCTATTCAGGTATTATCAACGATAGGTAACATGGCTTCACTCATCAGAGATCAACTGGCGAGCTGCTCGCTTGCGTCCCACATATATGGCAGTAATCTATTGAAAAATATGGTGAAACCTTAGCCGTGGCACTTGATATCTCCAAGGCATTCGATCGAGTCTGGCACCACGGACTCCTCGCCAAGCTTCCATCTTATAGCTTGCCTCCCGGGCTATGTTCTCTGCTTGCTAGTTTTCTCTCAAACAGGTCTCTCTATGTATTGGTCAACGGAGTTTCATCTGACTCTCTTATCATAAATGCTGGTGTCCCGCAAGGATCAATTCTAGCACTAACACTATTTCAACTCCATATCAACGATTTGTTGGAAGCAACGTCAACTAGGGAGAAATGTTGGCAACATAAATATGGACTCGGCAACAATTCTCGAATGGGGATCCAATAACTTGGTAGATTTCAATGCAAACAAAACACAATCATGCCTTTTCTCTAGAAAAGCCAATCACATTGTGCCCCACATAAGCTTGTCAGGAGTAACCATACCTTTGAAGACATCCATTTCGATGCTTGGGGTAATCACGTGAGATCAAGTGATAAAAGTACATCCCAAAAACTTGGTTTTCTGTTTCGGGCCAGGAGCTATTTCACTTCCAGTCAGCTTATGATCTATAAGGCACAGATCCGATCTGTCCTGGAATACTGTTCCCATATTTGGAGTGCAGCACCCAAACATACCCTGAAACTGTTGGATTCTGTCTAAAAGAGGGCAAAGTCGCTGATACATTTGAGTTTTGACTTTCGACATAAAATCGTTGATATTTGATATCCATGCATATTTTAACAATGGATCTGGGCAATTGTTGAGCAGTGTACTCATTTGTTGACGCTATTTTATTATGACGTTGTAGAGTTAACTAGTTTCTATTGGTGAAAAATAAGTTGATTAGTTTTTATTGGTTAAAAATATATTCACTATCTGAACTATAATATCATACATATTATGAGATTCAAATTATCGTTTATTTATTGGTTCTTAGTATGGGAATTATTGGGATTGAATTAATTACGTATTGTTATCTCGGATGAATCAATAGATCATTTATTTATATAGTTAGATATTTCAAATTTCATTGTACACGGAGTATTTCATTCCAAACGCCCCCCGCCCCTCTATTATATCACAGTTATTAGTCGTGCGATTCGTACAAAAAATTTGGACCGGTATGAAAAACCATCATTAATTTTTCAGAGACAAGCGTCCTTTTAGACAGTGCTGTGCTCTTTTATTGAAATAAAAATGGGTCGATTCTCATGAAATCATATTAGGATTTTTTTTTACAGGAAAACTGACTTCATAATCTTGATCTTCTTGGTTTCAAAGCCCCCACATAATGATATGTACATTTTCCTAAGATTCCTATGAAGGGTTTCTTATTTGAACAGAAACGAGTTCCACAATTTTCAACCTATCGGATAAAATTTCAGCAGTAAGTTTGAATTCATTATTTCGGAATGATGTGGTTTTTGCATATGGAGGTTCGGAAGCATGAGGAATAATGTGAAGCTATGATTTCATGAATATCGCCCCCTTTTTATTTCAATAAAAAGCACGACTTTGTTCAATAGGATGTTTGTCTCTGAAAAACTTGTCATTATGATGGTTATTCATACCGGTCCAAATTTGGTGCGAATCGCACGACTAATAGCTGTGATGAAGAGGGGGGGCGAGAAGGTGACTTGTGATCAGTTCGAAATATGAATATTGGCCTGAAAAGTTTTCATCTAGATAGATGGTCATGATTTTCGAAAGATACTATATTTAGACACTAATTACGTGGATGAATGAATTTGATTCTTTTCTTTAAAAAAAATTACTGTCCCGAATCGGAATTTTTCATTTTTAATTGAATATTGATGATTTTTTCTGGTACTTCGCATTTTATTTCATTACATTCAAAATAAATAGTCACTGCAACTCTACCTGCTCTATTGTTCTTCAATCCCTCATGAAAGTTTGATCAGTTAAATCACGTGTTGGAGGTGAAAATGATTTATGTACAAAATGTAGAGCATTGTAAAACCACCATATGTTTCTGTGTTGATCTTTCCATTCTCTCCAGAAGTGGTTAGGTATTTGAAAATGTCCTGCAGTAGTTTTAGATCTAGAGAATCATGCACATGTTCTCAAATTCAAAAAATCAGAAGTATCACACTACAGTATGGAGTATGCTTGAAAATAAATAATTGCTTGTCATGAAGGTCTGACCTCTGAATATTTTCTAATTTTTTCGTGCAAGAAAATTGAGTAAATATTATCTTGAACTCGTAAGGATTTTATGAAAATGTGCATGCTTATATTTGAGATAACGTTTACGAATCAAATATTTTTGACAATGCAGTTTTGCCGCTTCTACTAGAAAGTAGTAGCATATTTTAAATGGAACACCCAGTATTTCATTGCATTTTTAGATTCTTCCTGAAGAGCTGATTTCATCAATGGATCACACTTGGAGTCTAGCGGTAATGAAAACAGAGATATACTGTTCAAAATTGATATTGTTGAACTTTAGGATTTTTTTGTGTCGAAACTATTCATTATCGGTCAAACCAGCTTCCATGTCCAGCTTCAATATCTACTGACATTTATTTGGAACAAATACAGGGTGGTTCAAGATTCAGAATTCTGATCATCTTGTATCTGCAAATTCTTGGTATATAGTATATTAATGTTCAACGAGCACGGAATGATAGTGATTTTTCACGAGAATGGAGTTTACAGCATCAGCCGTAGGCGAATGCTGCGATCATTCGAGTGGGAAAATAACATTCCGTGCGAGTTATACACTATAATTTTTCTACTGCTGTAACAGAGATAACAGCGACATTATCGATTCATGAAGAAAAACTCATGAGAACACATAAAAAATACATCCATCTATCGAGAGATTTGTATCTAGATTATACTAAAATTTATACTGTAATAACATTTGGTAAAACTATAACAATAATTACTTTGAGAAGATGTACTAGATATTTGCGTACTTTTAATTAAAATGTGTTTATGTTCTACTTTATCTATTAACATTAACTACAGTATGTATGTATGTATGTATGTAAACTTCATATGATCCTCAATCGAGCAAACATCCAAGAAATCTTTTGGGTGTAGGATAAATTGACATTCATCATACAGGGCGTGGAAAGAAATTCTGAATTGAGACTCCAAGGACTATAAAAATCACAAGTTTCCATCGTTCAAGTTTGAACCCCCTGATTGGGTATGAAAGAGTTGAAAAGGAATATTCTCAGATAACTTATGAACATACAAGATCAGAATTTATGCCAGTATACTTCTCCTATACATTCCAGCTTTCATTTCAATGCTGAATATATTGATATTGGTAAGTTATATTTCTATATCATTAAACATAATATTATTCATCCGATTTGAAAAAGAATTTCAATCCTCAATTTTCGGAGGATTTTATTTTTTATTTTTCATGTTCTCCTTTTGGATGTTCATCAGATATAATTCAATGTTTGACGTGGCAAATAGCCAGGAAAGTAGTTGTTTTCTGTTGAATATTCAGAATGATGTGTGCATATACATATTTTTGTCTGAAGGAGAATGCAAATTCTCAATTTCAGAAGATTTTATATTTCATTTTCAAACTCTTATCGTATGTGTTCAATAGATATAATTCAATGTTCGTCGTGGCATATAGCCAGGAAAGTAGTCGTTTTCTGTTGAATAAACTGAAAAAGAGTTGATATTCTCATCACATAGAGAATGCGAATTCTCGATGTATTGCTTTATATAAATATATATCCATTTTTGTATGTTCATAATTAAGGCCTTTTGAGCCAGGTCTATTTTGTATATTGAGCTAAGCAGATTACTTCTTCAAAACTATATTTTTTCACATTTGTAGAAAAAAAGTTGTTTGCAACTCATGAAATGGAAATACATTCAGGATTGTTTGAATATTTCCAGAGTATTTTCACATAGAAAAATCCCAGCTCTAATAGAAATATTTTCCATTTTATGATGACTTATTCCTTTATGGAAATTATATAGGTATAATCAAGGTGGTATAATAGATTCGTTTAATTCTCCATCTGTACATGTATAGGTTATAAAATTGATGCATACGTATAATATGATATAATTACATAATATTATATAATAAATATACAAAATTACAAAATAGCTACAAAGTTAAACTGGTGTATACAATCCTAAATTGATCGCAAAAATATTGTCGTTTTAAATTCGTTCGTTGTTACCCTTATAGCGAACTTTTCATGAAAAAAAGTTTGCCTAAGGTAAGTCAAACCAAACCGAAATCGGTATGTACCACATCGCAATTGTTCTGTTTTTCGACATTAGCAGCCATATTGAGCTCGACCAACGTGTCCACGCTATTGATACTGACACCCTTGAGAATTTTCTGAGCAGCCAGACTAGTAAAGTTGAAACTCAAGTCGCTCAAGCTTGGGAACTGTTGGTTGCTGTTCTCCCTAGTCAGCGTCCGCTCTTTATAGCAAATATTCGGCTCTGACCCCATCAGATTCTTATCCAGAGATTTGCCGTACAAGGATTTCTCCAGGGAAGTCTTGGAGCCGACTTCGTTCTTTATGTATTTACCCGAAGACAGCATGGGAATGCCCTCGTAACTCTTGGTAGGGCTTGGTGGGGTACTTGTGAAAGAGGGGTTCTTGGTGATCTCCCTGAAAGTATTGGCAATCGGTGAGTCTGGGTTGGAGTTGCTAATGAACTGATTGTGGGACACGTTTTTGATGACATTGTGGTAGCTCAAACTGTCCCTAGAAGGAAGCTGAAGAGATAGCTTCCTACTGTTATTCATGGCTTCGAACTTGCTTTCGCTGTTTATCATATCCCTAGAGTTGTTCAAGCTGTGCTGGGTCTCGACTATGTGATTGGTGTTCTTCGTTGGCTTCACCTCTACGCTTTCGCTTGGTGTTGCTGCTGTATCATTTTCCTCTGTACTATTAATGACCACCAGGTTTGGGTTTTTGTCTCCCTGGCCATTCTCGAACGTGATCACCGATCGGACTGGGGAGTTCTGCACGAAAATTTTCGTGTTCCCTCCTCCCCCACTGTTTATGGCAGCTGTTGCAGTGGCGTTGATATGATTATCCATGTTGATGCCATTCTGGTTGGTCGTTACTTGCAGGGTGAAAGAATTGCTATGTGACATCGGAGATGATTTCGGGCTCGAAATATTAGTGGTAGTCCTTGGGGTAGATTTAGTTTTGGTGGTAGCAGTACTTGTTTCTTTCCTGGTGACTTTTCTGGTAGTTCTCGCGTCTGTTTTAGGTGAGTCCAGTAGGTTTCTGTTGATCACTGTCTTGTGCGATTCAAGACTGGAAGGCCCGCTGGTTACTGAGCTTCCAGTTTTGCTACTCTTGTGCGACTCTATGCTACTCGGACCGCTGTTATCGATGCTGGAAAGATTTTTGACTGGTGTATCTGGAAGAGAACTCGCCTTATCTTCGTAGCTGCAGTTTATAGGGGATTTATGACTAGTTCTGGAAGACTCTGCAGTCGGTAAACACAATCTGTCGTTGAGCTTGGGAGTCAACGTTTGGTCTTGTTCTGGTGCTTTATCGTCGAGTTTTTGATCTTGAGGTACTTGGGGTTTTGTCAAGCTGCTCCTGCTGGTTTTTCTGGAACTGTCTCTGCTCCTGTAGGCGTGTTTTCTTGGTAGAGATCCGGTAGTGTAAGAGTTGGTGTACCTTGAAATAGGTGAATTTTCTCTGGAGCCGGAGTATGGCGTTCCGCAGTTGAGGTCGCTGGAAAGATGTCTTCGATGGTTTCTTGGTAACGTAGTTGATCTGGATGCGCTGATATCACAGTTTTCTAAGTAGGCGGCTATATTGATACCCGTTTCCTGGGAAATAAAACAAGATAATATCAAATCCAGGTAATTCTAACGAATACCATGATGAGGGTATTACCTTTTCTGTGGCTGTGGTTTGGGTTCCAACATTGTGTAGATGCACAGCTTTGGAGTTGAACCATTCTGTTGGAGGGAACTGGGCACTGAAGGTTCCTATATGACACTGAGAACGTTTTGATCGCCGGAATAGTCTTGACAACAAAGATTCCTTTTCTGTAAAATAAGAAAAAATACGAATCAAGTGTGAAATAGGATGATATGACAATTCGTTAGAGTTATACTTGGTGTTGGTGTGGAATCTCCACTGTTGGGATATTCGGTGCTGCTGCTGGTGTCAATATAGTGTTTAGCGATCGTTCTGGTGGAAGCTGACCTCCTCAATCGCCTGGTAGAGCTCCACAGCCTGAAGGATCCTCTTCTATCCGGACTTCTCGGAGATGGAAACGAAGCTGACCTCCGTTTCGTCCTTGGATATAGAACTTTGTCGCTGGCATTGCCTGAAATAATAAGGAAACTAGATGTTGTTGCTTAGGAGGTACAATTTGGCCAAACTAGCTATTTCTCAGTCTTCATCTTTTGTGAATCCTTGAGGCACTGCTAGTGTGAAAAAACTATACCAGATATTCTTGTAACAGTAGATGGGTTTTTCGAATAAGGAATCTTACCTCCACAAATTACGTCTGCTAAGTTGGTTTGTATACATTGGTGTGTGACGTTTCCATCCCTTATGGTTGCCATATCTCCATGGACGATTGCCATTGCCTCTTCGGTCGACATGAGCATGGTTTTGTTCGTGAAGCTGTCTATTCCATTGTCATCCTTCTTCCTACCCCTAGATTGACTTCTGGACCGTCTTTTTCTGAGGAATAAATTGGTATTAGAAATTTGACGAAATTTTTTGGTAAATTCTGATTTTTCGATCATGCCACATTTCATTATCTCTTCTAGAGATGAATTAGAGAATAAAATGGGAACGTGAGGAAATTCATGGAAGTGTTTTTTTTATGTTATATATTGATTGACAAACTTATATGAACGGTGGTCAATCTTCCTACTCCATCAGTTACATCTTGAATCTACCAATCAATTAATGAAAACACCTTGTAACTCATTTGTGTACTAACATCATCACTCATCCATATTATTCCAACATCAGAATGTCACTGAGAAGTGTCAAACTATATGAACATGTGATGGGTCAAATGGTGTACAGGAATAAAAGGTCTATTCCGGAATACATACACGTATATTCAATGTACTGCTTCTTACATGGTTCGAATTAGAATTGGCATGATTGTGTCCTAGTTATTGGCATGTAATATTATAATAACAATTTGTATTAATATGAGTATATCCACGCTGTATTGCTACCCGTCAACGCACCTTTATACTTTCGTAATAGAGTAAACAAATTAATCGCACTACCAACACAACTTCAGAATAAGAATATTTTTGCATTTTCATGTTGAGAACGGGAGCAGATTCGTTCCCCATACGTCCAGAGATAAGTAAAAATTCGATATTTTTTCAATATGCCTATATTTCATCTCTTCAAACATTTTTCCAAAAAAAGTGTCATGCACTGACAAGCTATTGGATTCTTCTTTCAGACTCACTGATAGAAAAATGTGTTGAACGCAGTGACATTTTGAGGCAAATCATCTGATTTGTCCTACTACACATACAGTGTGTCTCACTTATAATGCAAACACTCCTGTATCTCACATATTCGTTGGGTAGGGACTCTGAAATCTGCAAAAGCGACAGATATAGTAAAATTGTCCCTAACCCAACGATTAGGTGAGATACTGGGGTGTCTCCATGAAAATTGAGACAAAAATGAAATTCTCAGAACTGAAAATTTTCCAGAAAAAATATGGATAGTTAGTGAATTGGGCGTCCTGATTCCGGATTCGAAATGATTTTCAACCTATTTTGACTCCTAATATCATTTTCCGGAAATCGGGGTGGTTCCATGGCTGTTAGCGAGCAGTGTTAATCACTGAAGATGACCACACTTGGTCATAGAGTGCATTTTTGGTATATCTCGCGCTCTAACAAATATCAGGATCCTTAACCAACGATTGCATAAGATACAGGGGTGTTTTCATTAGAAGTGAGACACACTTGAAATAATACTCATATTCTTATTTTATAGAAACGAGGAGAGAAAATCCCAAATATCAAGTAGAATGATAGAGACGTATTTATTTATTTTTTGTTGATTTATTTATTTATTTATTTATTTATTTATTTATTTATTTATTTAACAAATAACTTCCAGACAGAATAGGTTCTGGTATAAGGAAGTACATAATTAAATACCTATAGGTAAACATATCATTATACAAAATATATCAACAACTGTAAATTGATAAACAAAGAATAATATTTGTAAAAAAAAAATGGCATGTTTAATTTTATCCAGTTCGCTCAGAAATAATCAATTTTTTCACTTCATTTTTGAATGAATCTTTATTTCTGCAATTTTTTATATTGTCAGGTAGTTTATTGAATTCAGTTGAGGCTGAATGAGTGAATCTTTTTTGTCCGATAATGGAGCTAGCGGCGTCAAGATGAAACAAGTTATATTGTCTTGTTTTATGATTATGAATTTCAGAATTCCGTATCAACATAAAATTCGACTTCAATTTTTTATTTATGATATTATATGATATTTTAAGAGTTTCAATTCTATATATTTCATCTAAAGAATACGTATTTGTTATTTCAAACAATTGATTGGTTGGTGTATCAAATGGGAGACGATACAATACTTTTAACGATTTTCTATATAATGTTGATATTTTATTGAAATTGTTCTTTGAACAAGTTCCCCAAGAATTTATTAAATAGTTGATACGACTCAGTATATGAGAGTAAAGAATCATGTTTGCAATTTTAATATCAAGTTTGGGACATCTTCTCAATGCACCAATAATTGGAGATATTTTTTTGGTCAGAACATCAATATGTTTGTCCCACTTCAACCTGTCATCAAACCAAATTCCAAGATATTTTATCTGGTCAGTTCGTTTTAAGGTTGTTCGGAGGTTTTAAGAGTTCATTTTTCATTTTAAGGTTGAGGTAAATTTTTCGTTTATTTTTTTGGTGAAAAATCATATATTCTGTTTTGTTAGTATTTATCGATAAAAGGTTAGAGTGGAGCCATTTTTCAAATATTTTCGAGTCTTCATTCATCATATTTTCTAAATTTGAAGGATTCTTGCCTTCATATAAAATCACCAATCACTCCAATCACTACTACAAGCTATTTTGATAGGAAGCGTATTCAAATCCGAATTGCGAAAAGAACCTAGTGATCCGTGGCTGGTGTCTGAAGCTAGTCAATGAATGCCCTTGCCTCATGTCCTCATCCTCATGAATTCTCATTCCACCAGCCACGTTTTACCAATATTGATATTCCTCGGAATAGCAAATGTGTTCTTCTTCTATCTTCTAACCTAAACACAAATCATACGGATACGAGTCGGTCCCCTGCAAGTGGTTCTCCGACCCGATCTTCCCAACACTAAAGTTACATCAACAAACTCAATATAGTGAATATAACAATCTCTCTCCTAAAATGATGATCTAAATGTAACTGTGCCGACATGTTATGAATTCTTTCCTAACCCCAGTAACCCTGCTAGTGCGTTATGTTAGCACAAGAATATTGCTATTCTGGCTACCAGCATGAAATTCGGTACACATATTGATGAATATATAGAAAACAAAAAACCATCGGGACACACGCTGTATCTGGATTATATCAGCCGCCATTTTTCAAAATGGCGACCGAAAGCTGGATTTTTGCTAATATCTCCAGAACGGTGGGAAATATCGGGAAAGTTCAAATTGATGAAATATAGAGGTTAGTAAGGCGGACATTTTTTCTTCGAAAGATTTTTTTGTCAGACGAACCAAAAATTCAATAATTGAAATATTAAAATTCAATTTTTCAAGGTTTCTCAACAAAAAATCAAAATGGAAACATTCAGGCTAAGATTAGCCACAGAAATCATGATCATGAGTTATCTGTATGATGAACTCTTTCTTGAGGATTCAAACCGAAGGTACCATTACGTAAAATGGCGGTCAATTATTTTAATCTAAATAAAATCATATATCAATCATGTTAGTGGCTTGATGTTTAATTAGGTTCGATTAGATCAGTAAGAATCTTGGTGAACTAACTAATACAACAGTATCACAAATAATGTTTATTGAGTACACTGTCCATCACACGTGCATAGAGCACACTGAAAATTAAATCTATTGCATTTGCAGTTCTTAATACACATTGTTTTGTATCTGCAGCTGATCAATTCTGAATATTCATCAGCTGCTTGTGGCAAAACTGTCCAAAGTGGTTCAAGCGTTTCATCTTGACATTCCAGATTTGACGACTTCCATTCCCAGTTAGTTGCATTTGGAATATTATTATATGGTTGCAATTCCAGGGTGTGAAAAATTGAGTGAGAGATCAAAGTGAGTATACCGGGTAAGGCATTTTTATATTGAGACAAAATTATATCTCGGTTCGACTCGATTATTTCGAAAGACATTTCAGACAAATAATGTAAGGCCAATGATTTCCAATCCAAATCTGTGATGAACAATAGGTGTTTCTATTAAAAAAATCGACTTTCGCTCTAAAGGCCCCACTTCCGGTCTAGTACAATATTTCTCAGATTTTTTTTTTCGAAATAATCGAATACAAGCGAGATATAATTTTGCCTCAAGATAAATACCCCACCCGGTATATTTCAGAGTTGAAAGAGAACTTCTATAGGGATACTTGGTAACGGGGTAATTGTTGGTATTTTAAATGATTTTTTGAGAAAACGAGGATTTTACACTGAATATATTCAATTTATTGACTTTAATATCAACCTCACAAGAAAATGTTTCAGACAAAAAATATCCGCCTTGTAATGATCTTTATTTCATAAATTTGAACTCTTCAAAAATTTTGCACCGTTCTTGAGATAACAGCAAAAATCTAGTTTTCGGCCGCCATTATAGAACATGGCGGACGAAATATTCCAGACACAGCTCGTGTCTCGATGGTTTTTTGTTTCCTATATATTTCTCATCATGTATGCCAAATTTCATGCTGGTAGCCAGAATAGCAATATTCTTATACTTTTTTGAACCAACCCAACGCACACTTATTGGGCGGAAATGCAGTAAAAAAAATACTCACTCGGGCGTAACGATGAAGTATCCGTTAGACGTGTTGTAGAGCTTCCGCTCCTTGGTCAGCTGCACCAGCGTGTCGTAGAGCGCCTGCTCGCCAGGGGGCGACACGTGCGGGAAGGCGACGATCAGGGACTCCCTGATCGTTTCTAGGCCGGCGGGTCTGCCCTGGCTGGACAGCCGCAGGATGACCGAGCACACGGCCTCGGGCAGCGGCGTCCATTGCGTTTGGGCCACTTGAACTGTCGAGCAGTGTTCTACGTCTTCTGCAAAATCACAGTTCAACGTTCATTCATCGTTCATTTAGTGGTGGGCACACTTATTGATGAATTTTGAGTGCTTGTCCTATGAATATTTAGAGGTTTCATCTCAAGAAGTAGATATGCGTTTCAGTTGAGTTGAGGTTATGTAAAGGAAATTGATATGCTATATTGCTGGATCTCATAACTAAGAGATCTAGGATGAACAGAGTTGCCCCAATTGTCTGCAGGAGCGAGACAGTACTGTTTCAACCCACCAGGTCTCATCAGCCGCTCTCGGTCTGCTGACAACTGGGACAACTCTACGCTTCGGATATATAACCCATTTCGAAGACGTAGGGTATAACATGAAGTTATAGTCATGTTGTAGCCATCTAGTGGCAATAAAGCTCCAAGGTAGGATACAGAAATAGCGACACACACTGTATGAGATGAGATGTTATGAGATCCAGCAGTTGAATAGGTGGTGGAAAAATTCCACCCAAGTATGTCAGGTAGTGCCATCTGTCAGCAGAGTGGTTTACTTGTAGTACCACTCTGTAACGTATAGACGTAGGGGTCTGTACGTGTGACTATAGATGGCAGCGCCATACAGTGTGTGTCGCGATTTCTGTATCCTACCTTAGAGCTTTATTGCCACTAGATGGCTACAACATGACTATAACTTCATGTTATACCCTGCATATGCTATATTGTTATAAGTACGTTTTCTCTCATGTTTTTGCGTTTGGACCATTTGGATTGTCGAGCAGTGTTCTACGTCTTCTGCAACATCACAGTTTAACGTTCATTCATCGTTTATTTAGTGGTGGGCACACTTATTAATGAATTTTGATTGCTTGTCCTATGAATATTTAGAGGATTCATTTCATGAATCCAGTTAACACAGATTGATCACCAATGATGCTTTCTTGTTATTCGAATTATTGTTACCTAGCGAGACATGAATGTGACATCCCAGGGATGTTTGTGTTTACTGGGAAGTAGATATGTGTTTTAGTTGAGGTTATGTGGAGGCAATGGATATGTTATATTGCTATATGTTTTTTCTCAAATAATTGCGTTTGGGCCATTTGGACTGTCGAGGAGTGTTCTACATCTTCTGCGAAATCACAGTTCAACGTGCATTCATCGTTCATCTAGTGGTGGGCAGACTCATTAATGAATTTTGAGTGCTCGTCCTATGAATATTTAGAGGTTCCATCTCATGAAGTAGATGTGTTTTAGTTGAGGTTATGTAGAAGAAATGGATATGATATATTGTTATATGTTTTTTCTTATGTTATTGCGTTTGGGCCATTTGGACAGTCGAGCAGTGTTCTTCGTCTTCTGCAAAATCACAGTTCAACATTCATTCATCGTTTATTTAGTGGTGGGCAAACTTATCGATGAATTTTGAGTGCTTGCCCTATGAATATTGAGAGGTTTCATCTCATGAAGTAGATATGTGTTTTAGTTGAGGTTATGTGGAGGCAATGGATATGCTATATTGCTATATTTTTTTTCTCATATAATTGCGTTTGGGCCATTTGGACTGTCGAGCAGTGTTCTAGGTCTTCTGCAAAATCACAGTTCAACGTTTATTCATTGTTCATCTAGTGGTGGGCACACTCATCAATGAATTTTGAGTGCTCGTCCTATGAATATGTTAATATAAATAATAATAATTAATAAATTAATAAAATAAATAATGTTTTAGTTGAGGTTATGTAGAAGAAATGGATATGATATATTGTTATATGTTTTTTATCATGTCATTGCGTTTGGGCCATTTGGACTGTCGAGCAGTGTTCTACGTCTTCTGCAAAATCACAGTTCAACATTCATTCATCGTTTATTTAGTGGTGGGCATACTCATTTATGAATTTTGATTGATTGTCCTATAAATATTCGGAGGTTTCATCTCATCAAGTAGATATGTGTTTTAGTTGAGGTTATGTAAAGGAAATGGATATGCTATATTGCTATATGTTTTTCTCATGTTTTTGCGTTTGGGCCATTTGGACTACGTCTTCTGCAAAATCACAGTTGAAAATAAATAGATTTATTTATGCTGCATTACAAAAAGGTTGAACTCAATGACATGTATACTGTGCAAAATTCACAGAAAAATATACATAATTACTAATATTCAACGACATTATAACGTTGTCATCATACCTACATGTACAGAAACATAGTTATACAGGATGTTCTTAAATTACTACTGAAAACTTCAGGGGGTGATTCCTTGTGAGATTTTAGGAAATAAAGTTCATATAAACAAATATCGTAACTTGTTCCGTTTTTGAGATAGAGGATATCAATGTTGGAAGTATTAATTGTTTTTCATTATAACCACCCTGTATTAGCTTTTATGGTGCCAAAATTGAGTATGGTCGGAGACCGACAAGGTCCCAAAAATTTCAAAATGATTCTTATTGGGGGTTATCAAGTCATCTCAGTGGATGTCTTGAAAACACCTAAATACAAATTTGGAGTCAAATCGACCAGAAAGTCATTATTCCAATAGTTCAATCTCATAAAAGTATGGAAATCAGACAAACCAGTGGCGTACAATGATATTCACCATAAATATCCATGAATCTACCCAATGTGGCGCCACTGGAAATATTATTCCAAATCTAATTGCACCAAAAGAAGCTTAATTTCGATGCAGTGAATAGATCAATGAATTTACCATCGGAATAACCGCATCAAAATATAAAAAGAGAGGTTACGAAAAAACGAACCTCTGAGTTTTAAATTGACTTGTTTCAAAGGACGAATAACATTTCAGGGATTCCCTCCCAAGCGTTCCAAGAGATGAAAAAAATACAGTTTTGCAATGTGACGTGACCGATTTTGTATCTAATTCTTACCTAAAGCGACTATTTGGTATCCAGCCGGCGGCTGCAGCACTCTCCTCGCCCAGGCGTTCCTTAAAATCTCCAGAGCACAAGGTTCTGACCCCACCAATAACGCCCCTGGGTTGATGTATCCATAGTAAACTAGATTCTTCGTCGCTCCATTAAGACCGTTGTTCCACCAACAAACGGAATTCGATGAAAGCAAACCCTGTAACATGAAACGAAAGACTTGTTTTACCTTCAGAGAGTATTAACTGGAGTAATCAAGGCTGTGTCGAGAAGGCTTTGGTTTAAAAAAAAATGAATAAGTCAGTTCTTTCTTGGGGACCCGAACCGCAAAATAATCCTGGGCATGGCCTTGCTGGAGTTTGATAAAAAATGAGGTGTTCAAAAAATAAGTACATGGACTGTAGATTGTAGATGGGTCGTATAGGCTGGAAGACCTCTCGATCACTGCGACCTAGTAGATCTATTGTGATTAACCATATCTAGTTCTGGTCCTCTGACCCTAGACTCCTAGAATTTTCCTGACGGTTGAATTTTCCACCTCAGCAGGTGTGAGATAGATCTGTTCTAGGTGATTCAGCCTTTGGCAGACTGATACTTTACATGAGCAAAGTATGTGTTCCGCGGTTTCGGTCACATTGTTGCAAAAGTGGCAAGTGTTAGTCTCCACCAAGCCCATCTTTTTGAGGTGGTACTACAGAGGACAGTGGTCTGTGAGAAAGCCTGTTATAAGCTTCAGCTCTGGTTTGCTGAGGTTGAGTAGCTCTTTGGCTCGGTTCTGCGAATGGTTGATGAACCTTTTCGCTTGTCGTTGACCTGGAGTTGCTCTCCAGTAGGAAAACTTTTCAATTTCTCCTCATTTCATGAGTTCTTCCTTTAGGTGACATTTGCTTATCCCACAAAAAGGCTCAGGCATAAAGAATGCAGATGCTGCACCTTTCTTTGCAAGGCTGCCTCATTTATTTTGATTCTTTCATGCCCTCAAACCCACATAAGTGTGACTTTGTTGTCCTTTCCCAGTTGCATGAGTGTTCCAAAGCAGTTCCACGTTATCTTTGATGTGGAAACAAATGATAATATGGGTTTTAGTGCGACTTGGCTGTCTGAGCAGATATATATGTTGGCACCCCTCAGACATCTGCTCAGGCACCTTTGAGCGCATAGGTTGATGCAATGTATTTCACCTTGGAACATAGTGGAGGAGTGACCTAAGGCTTCGAATAGCCTACATCCGGGTCCATATACATCCGCGCCTACCCCTTTTTTCATTTTCGAACCATCGGTGTACCAAACAAGGGACCTCTGTCCAGCTAAGGCTCAGCGGAACCGTACCTAGGGTGACTTATTATAAGCACTTCAAAGGCAGGATCGCAACTGAGCCTGGCTGGCATTAAGTCCGATGGTTTGGTTGCATAGATTACTCGAATGGTTAACAATTTCCGTAAAATCAACTGGTTCCTTGAATGAAGTAACTGAAAGATGAGTTTCGCTTCATCAAGATCTCTTTATCGAAGATTTCAAGTTTTACAGACGAAGGGTTAAAAAAATTATAACGCTTGTAACTTCTTGAAATCTGGATTCAATCAGTAGGTGTGAATTTTGTGTTCAACATAACAATGCAAAGTTTGAATATCGTAATAATAAATAAAGTTTCCATGAATATAAGTCATAGAAGGATTCGTTTGCGAGATACAGGGTGTCAAAAATGAAAGTAAAAAATAATTTTCATTGAATTGAATGTATAATAATGGAGTGCCACAGGGACTAGGAACTATTAGTCCTTCGTCAATATTTCCTAAAGGAATAATATATGGCACTATATATACCGCAGAAACCACAGCTTGTGTAACAATAAATCATCATATTACAACGACCTCTGCTGTCAAAAAGGCTTAAGCTCAACCCATTTAATAAGAATTGTAATTCTTTTATATATATCTATAGGTATGATACTTGAGGAATATTAGTCGTATATCATGGTTGACTCTTGGTATAATCTATTATTTCTCAATCTAAATGAACTAAGACAGTAGTCCAAGTGAATGCGAACGCAAAACCCCATTTTCTCTCAAATAGAAAAAAATATTGATACCACCTCAGGCACCCGGTATTAGATCTGAATAATCATCATGATTGGCATCGTAGGTGCGAAATAATAATTGTGTGGTAACAGATAATATAGAAAATAAAATTGGTGCTAGCTGATTGGTGAGTCAGTGCTTTCCCTTGAGATTATCGGTAATAAAATTGAATAAAAATTAGCCATTTTATGGTCCATTACTGTACTAGCACATTATCCGATTATGAATATATTATTTGTGTCCTTTTATGGCCCAAGCGATGGAGTGAAATCCTATTAGCTTCATAGATAAAAAAAATCTTTCAATTATCAGGCGAATATTATTTTGTCATGAAATGATGTCCCAGGAATCATCAAAAAGGTTATCAGTATTTTTGTTTATTTGTCGTTGATTTATCTTGCCAAAAAACACTAAAAAATTTTTTAATTGGACAAATCTCCTTACTAACTCGAACATTTTCCATCAGTTATTTCTCTCGAAAAACTGAAATTAGACAAAATTGCTCGACCTACGGTCTCGCAAATTTTTCATGACAGTTTTTCTCGAAAAATTACCGATTGGAAATGATTTTCTTAACCAGGAAAAAATGTATCCGATAAAAAAAGCACTTGTGTTTTTACTGTTAATGAAAAGGTTGCACCTTTTTAATTGATGTCTAAATGACACCTTCATCTGCAAATAATGGTCCTATGAACGACTTCATTTATGGCTGGAAACAAGATTTTCAGTAATCAAAAAATATCGCTGTTATACTGCTAGCTGTAATACCCATTTCTTAAACTGTGCTGTAATACAGGAGATACTGTGAAAATGGTTTTATTCTGATTAAATCCCGGAATGGAGGTGTTCAGATTTGTACTCCACCCATGCTACCATTGAAAAATTCTGAAGATGTGGGCCTCTTGTAAAGGAGATAACCTTGTGAACGATCTCATTCATGTCGAAAAATTTACGCCAAAGAAAACAGAAGAAGATTAGGCATTTGATCATATCTAATATTTATGTTTGAAAAATATGAATGCAATATTGAGGAAACTGTTATAAGCAACTAGAAAGGCAATATTGAACGTAGCCGGCATAGACTTCATATAGTGAGTTAACACTTGGTGGAAGACCGTGAAAGACGAAACAACAATTCAAAGAAGTCAAAAAACAGAAGCCAGCCTCATAATAATTGTGGTTTTGGTCAGCAGACCCTGGTTTCCAGTAAAAAAACTAAAAATAATCAACGGAGTCAACAAACAGAAGCCAACAATAACCTCTCAGACAGGGTTATGTCCAATATTTTTTTTACTAATTTTTTTTAACAGTTCCCTCAATATTCCTTTTATCAAAATCGTATTCCTGGACTCGGATATCACGCAGGCAGCTATAGCTGCCTCCGTGGTGAAGTTGGTTGTTGCTCTGGAATGCAGAGTCTGCTGACCAATACCACAAATGTGCGGCTGGCTTCTGTTCTTTGACTCCGTTGACTTGTTGTTTCGTCTTCCACGAAGTGTTGCCTATCCTTTGCACTTTTGTCACCGTACTGATGAGGGTCGAAAGCCCGAAACACGTGTACACGATTAACTCTTTATCAGGGCTATGTCAAATAATTTTTTCTAGCTGTCTAAAAAAATATTTGTATGGTTTAGATGTGGGACTATAGGCTGATTCTTATACTTCCTACTGGACGAACGCTATTCAATGTATTCCGTATTCAGATAGCAGAAATTGTAGTTGGCTATATGCAAATAGCCATCGATATTTTCCGCATCGCTAAGATGGGATGTCCATAATTGATACCGGTAATGCGAAATCGTTATTCGCTACCTTCGCAGTTACGATAATAACAAGAGAACAGTTATTCTGATGGGTATTCTATGCAAATCGGTAATACAGAAATTTTTATCGTGCATCGAGCTTTTCGAAGATTCAATGCGTGAAATTTGCGATGTTTATTAATTGAGCAGGAATAATGGATGGGTGTTTTATGTGGCATAATTTCTTTGGCGATGAAAGGAATCTTTGCCGTGTATGGTCTAAAAATGATGGTATAATGATACGAAGCACGTATCACACTTTGTATTTTCTCGTCTATTATTCTGTACACCTCGAAACGTCCACTTTTTGATATAAAATCCATGAAAATCACCTGTGTCGAATTAAAATCTTTATTCTTGTATACATCACAGGATATCGTGCAAGAAAACGTATAATAGTGTGCAGTGCAGATAGATAGAAGATAGTTTCAATTGTTTGTCAGAATTCATATATAAATGAAAAGCAATGGGAACAGATCGAAAAATATCTGTGGAAAATAATTGATGATTTGAGAGATAAAGACAATGTCCTTTGCAGTAATACAAACATCCACAGTTGTAACAAAATTAAAACGATTTGCCTTCAACAGAAAACTGATTTGTCTCATATGATGTGCTTATACATCATGAATGATACATACATTAAAGGGCAATGAAGGTGATGCTAAGGGCTAATTGAAAGATGATTCGAGATCAGACATTATGGTCACTTGAAGCAAATGCCAATCACTTGATATAAAAACGCAGCCATTTGTGTTCATCATATATGTTATAAGTTATAAATAAGTGAACGTTTAGTCCTAGTTGAACAGAGTATTTGCTATAAAATAATCTCAAATCATAAGTCATTTACGTTGAATATTTGAACTATTGGTTGTAAGTATTAAAGTTATTACCTCGGCAAAAGTTTCGATTCATTTGCTATTTTGTTGAGGTATCTGATACAATTTTAGTGATCCTATATTGTGTGTAATGTTCATCAAACTTGTTTCCTCAAACTGATGATGAATTAGATATGATTGAACAACTAACCGACAAAGATTTAAGGTCCTCGTAACCCATCTTTTCATAACTGTCCAATATGGTGGTGTAGAACGTGTCATCTGCATATTTTTATAGATGGGGAACAATAGTAGCCCGCGAACGTGTTCTTGTGCCACCCCATTATTATCGTTATAGTCAAGGATTTAAGTTTATTCATATCATTGACTAATATTTGGTAATACTACTATTTTAGGTGAACCCATATTTATAAATTTCTATGATTTAATATAATATATTATTTTCGTTCACCTGCTATATAGCACACTCATCGGTATTGATGGCTTGATTATCATTGAATCATTAATCTGGTTTGCCTTCTATCAGATATTGATATATTGAGTGGGATACGATATAACTCTATACATAGGCATAATTTGTTCGATAAATCTCAAACGACTGACGGCTGGCCTTGATTTCACGTTGCACGTTGAATTATCATTAGTTTTCTAAATTGCTCATCAGACTTGAGACTTGAGGGAGTGACCAAATATGAGCCTTCATTATCTAAAGTGCTCAAAGGAATAAATAGACCACTAGAATTTTTTACGTTTTTCAAGATGTGATTATTTTATTAGAAACTAACCGATTTCCCAACCAGAATGCATCAGTGTTCAAAAAATGCGTCCTTATATAAGATTCATATTGTTGAAGATCCATCGTTCAAAACTTATCAAAGTTTTTCAGTTATGATATACCGAGTGATCAAAGAATGTGTTACATATAATCGAAAACATTTAGCAGTTCCTGTATTCTCCAAGATTTTTTTTTATTCTTCTGCAAATCAACTTTTCCAAACCTTCAAGATAATTTCTCGAAATGGTTTCGGTATTTCCGTCCTCCCATCCTGATATCGATGTATTTCATTATCCTGATATTTTCCGGATTTCTGCGGATTCAAAGAAGTTCAGGTGATATTCAAACCATACTATACTGTGAATACGATCGATTTCATTCCTAAGGAAAATATCCACCAAGCTTTGAAAGAAGCAGAAATTTCGACAACATCAAAATATAAGCTTTTTTAAAAATATTGTGTGAGATTTTGTGAAATCGTCTGTTTATGTTGATGCTGCTAAAATCATGAACTTGTGAAATAATTAATCTTTCATTCAGATGGATTGCAGCAGTCAACATCTCGGAACAAATTCATGATTTTTTTGATAAGTCAACTCCAGAAGCACGAGGGAAATATTAAAGGAAAGGTGATTTCCAGGCAATCCTGAGCTGGTATGAAATTGAGAAACCACTATAGTGCACGTTTTCTTCATCACACGAAAATATATTGGTGGAAAAATATTCTTGAGGAATATTTCATTTTGTCCTCTCATTGGAATAATCTAGTAACAATTTTGATTTCACAATCTACAGGATTTTTTCGTATGTCATATTCTCAGACGATTGAGGAAATATTCCAAAGGATAATAATGTGATCATTAATTTTGTTATTCATATAACATTCTAAGAATTATTTTCTGAAAACTATTTCATTAAAGATATTTCATTATAACCCTATAATATTTCTTGAAGATGAACAAAATTATGAAATTAATTATTTTTATTGATATTACTCGTTTAACTTCAATGATGTAGCATCATTCTCTCAAGTTATATGAGAAAAATATACTGATTGAAGATAAATACAATAACTATTGATTATATTGATTTTAAATTTAACATCCTATCGTGTTTAGCAACTGATGGATTTCATTGCTAACATCACGTTCCGATATTGAAGCAATGACATAATGATCGACTACAGCGTGATTGGTATTTGAAAGTGCAAAGTCGTTATTATGATTAGATATAATTTTGAGAATGATATAGTCATCGCTAACACACCTCCTGATAAACGCAGTGAAATTTCGTTGTTGAAGTTGATTGAGATGATATTTTTCGTGATTTGATAGAAATTACGAAATATGAGGTTTTGTAGAAGCAAGAACTAAATGGATACATGTAAAGAAATACATTGAGAATTCGCATTCTCTATCTGATAATAGTTATTTATTATGCAAGGGGAAAAAAGTACAGCTTGACCATTCTAGCTTGGCCTCTTAGAATTGGATGCGCAGTAGACCAGTCGGCGGAGTGGGACGAGAGCTCAATATAGTCGAGGAACTGGTTCAGTGATAACATCGGTTAGAGCAGTACAGTACGATTTTACTTTTGCTTATCTCAGGAGCCAAGCTAGAATGGTCAAGCTGTAGTAGATTTCAGCTCCAGGTTGTGTTGTTGACAAGACCCGTTTATAATACACATTTTTTTCTGCGACAGGAAAAAGGACGTATCAATATTGAGAAGATATCAGATTATATTGAAATCATAAAATTATCCAAGTGAACTTTAAAGTTTTTAACAGCCGTTGCAGGCATCTTTATCATTCTTTTGAAGTAATCAAATATCTGTCAGTCTAATTCTGTAATTTGATTTTCAAAAACTGCGAATTTAGTGGTCGTTCAGTAATTAAGGTAACCACGAAGTCGAATGGATGATAAAAGGACTTGGAGTTCTTTCTCGGAGACGGGGTTATTGGCTTATTTTTCTGAACTACAGCACAACAAAAGCCATCAACAGTGTATATTCATGTGATATATATCCGGGGAAAAAACTCCCTTTTTTCCTGTAGGAAAAAAGTAATTTTTGAAAAGTGACATCATATAACCTGTCGACAGAGATGAAATTTCAAACTTTTTTCCCGTCACAGAAAAAAAATAGGTATGAATTGTTTTTTGGTATATCCAACAGAGAACAGCTACTTTTCTGGCTATATGCCACGACGAAAATTGAAATCTACTGAAGTTGAGAAATTGCATTTTCTTCCAGATAAAAATATATATGTAGAAATTTGTTAGAGGGTGACCTCATAATTTCCAGTGTAGAAATTTGGGTGAAAAAAGTGGTTTTACCCCAAATTTTTCTTTGATCTCAACATTTTTTTTATTAGTGTCATTCGATAGTACATACGTCGAGCTTTCTTAGGGTTTTTATCTATTTCAATGTCATCCTTCTCTGTGAAGCTTTCACTTCAACATGATATGCCAGAATTTCAAAATAAAAAGAATTCATTGGCAAAAACTTATGGCAACAATGATTTTGAACAACTTACATTCTCATGGAAATTTGGGAAAAACTGGACAACTAAAAGAAGTGGAAGATCTTTGATGTTTCTGCCAGATTTATACCTACTCGAAATTATGATTATTCTATTTTTTTTCGAGATATAACACTTTAGAAATATTTTCTAGGATAATGAATTCAGAACGGCTCCTCATAACATCGGTTTAGGTGGATATTATAAGGGAATTTCTGTCTTTAGTAGATCACACTGTATATACTTATAATCTGTATAAAACACACCTGTTATTCATCTGAACTAAACGACATTCTTCCATAACAATATAAATAGTAGGTTAGGTATGATATTTCATTTAGGCGTTACTAATAAAAAAAATTCAATTATATCAAAGTATATCACGTCATTTCGTTTTCAGTCCAGCATTCCATCCCACGCTACTACCACTTGCCAATAATAGTCGATTGTTTCCAATCCTGATTTATGTCGACCTTTCAAAGAATTTATGAAGAGGCGTAATGAGGATGTAGAGTTATTGTATTTCGAATAGTTATTGAGTCTATTACACAACTCCATATCATAATAGATAATATAACTAAGAAAAAATTAAAAAAATGCTCCAAAATATAGTTTCAACAATAGTAATTATACAGGGTGCCTGTAAAAGGTATCTACAAAAACATACCACATATTCCCTAGACCAAAATAAGTCGATTTAAGTAAAATTACCTCAGTACAAAGTTGCATCATTTGGGCTCCAGAGGGCCTTGAAGTTACAGTTTTTAAATCGTTTTTCCCATATAAATTTAAAACGGCATATGCGATTTTGCTGAAACTTGGTATATTGATAGAGTTTCATGTGGCAAAAATAGAGGTGTTGAAATTTTGTCCGATATACATGGGCGTAGAACTTGATTTTTTGAATAATTGCACCCTAAAAAATTCTACGCCAATGAGAGAAAGGGAGTTTGAGTATGAAATTTAGATTGCGCAACTCATTTTCTTTAAAAAAGGTACTCTGATAAGACTCGATTGCTCTCATGGTTTTGACGAAATTTGCATTTTCGTAATTTTAGAACATAAACAATAACTATCAAAATACAAACTTTGTAGTAAATGAGTACCCAATCCAAATTTCATACTCAAACCCCTTTTCTGCCATAGGCATAGAACTAGATTTTTTAAATAATTGCACCTTTGAAAATTCTACGCCAATGGCAGAAAAGTGGTTTGAGTATGAAACTCCTTTTCTTCTGTTCAGTTGATATAGATAGAACATGGTATTCACTACTGAAATCTGAAAATGAAAATGATGAATTCAAGATTGAATAATGAAAACATCCTGTAACTCATTTCATTGCCAACGTCACCAATTGTCACTGAGAATTGAAAATTGTCAGGACAAATACGAATTTTCCATACAAAAAATCCATTTCCGAGTTGAAAACTGGAGCAGATTCGTTCCCAAAACGTCCAAAGGTTAGTGAAATTTTTTTATATACTCTTCTCCAAACCTTTTTCAATACAAATTGTGACTGACAAGTATTTTAGTCTCCACTTCAAAAAATCGAAAAAAAAAGCTGAAACAAAATTTGGCATTCCATGGAAAAGGTTATTGAACAAATTTGGGAATAGCGAGCTCTTAGTAATATATTTTGATGTTTTGAAAAAGAAAGAGTATTACCTGAAAAAGTAAATATCCATTCTCGTACATCCAAAAATCCCCTGGGTCTCCTCGACAGCCTTCTTTTCGAATTATTATAGCCAACACCTGATCGAGTTTTACGCGGCAATTGTAACCGCCATCCGCCACGTTTCGGTTCGTATTCATCTTCAGGTGATCATCCTGCAATAAACAGAAAAATATATATCATCTCACTTTCTCCATTCATCGCAGAGTTGGTTCCAATTAAATACCACGAATAAATTATTATATACATGTGAGAAGTAGTGTACGGAATAATACGATATATGATTGCATTTTTAATCAATTTCATTAGGTGTATATGTTAGCATTCCCTATTGTCAGAGTGTAGAGAAAACCTGGGAATTGTGCTATCACTATCACTTGATTCAACGTCGAATTTCCAAACTACTCAACCAGATTTCGAGGTCAGAATTTCATCTCGTGTGAAAAATTCACACAGCACGCGTGTTCAATCGCAGCTAATGAAAACGCAGACATTAAATTATAGCTTTACTAACAATTAACTACTTATTCAATGCATTTCAATTATATACCGTTTTGTAGACATTTCACACAGCCAATTTATAAGGGGTCAATTATTGTAAATATTGCAGGAAGAAAATATTCCTAGCAATTAATTGAAGTGCAGGTTGCTGAGCTGTAATTTTCAAGTTCGATGAATATGAGGTTGTGTTTACACATAACTCAGGTGGTCTCTGTTGGAATTCATAGTTTGTAATCTATCGACAATACCTACTGTATATAATATATTATGTAATATGTAGTGTGACCATTCTCATGTTAGACACTTGTCATGTAACTATGGATTCGTTATTGATTATGTTCGTTGTTTTAATAACAGATATTTTTTCCTTCGAAAGTGTGTGAATAAAAAGTTATCCGAAAAGGAATCCACTGATTTATTACTCACTGCCTAACAGGTTATGGGCCCAGGTCAATTGAGTAAGAAAATCTAACAATTCTACTCAAGTATCACTGGATTCTGAAGTATACGACATTCCTGTTTCCCAAAATGCCAGACGAAACGCAGTCAGCTGTCACGATCTCAACCTCGGCCCACAATATTGAAAAATTGGTAGGGCAATCGAACTATGCAAGTTGGAAGTTCGCAATGAGAATGACTTTAATGTTGGAAGGGCTATATGGGCATGTAGATGGGACAATAACGACCATTGATTCGAGTAACAAGAGTAAGGATGAGAGGGCATTAGCAAAAATATGTCTTTCCATTAAGCAGGTCTGTTATGTCCATGTCCAGACGGCTACAAATGCAAAAGAAGCATGGGACGCACTCAAGGATGCCTTTGAAGCAAGGAGTATGGCCACAACATTCGAATTGACGAGAAAAATCTTCAATACCAAACAAGAAAGTTTTTCTGATGTCACTGAGTATGTGACCAATATCATATCAACAGCTCAAAGGTTGACTGATTTGGGTAAAACTATCGATGATGAATGGGTTACTTTTGCTATATGCAATGGAGTTTCGGCAGAATTTGAGGAGTTAGTCGCCTCTTTGTACCGAAACATAAAGGTCAACCAAAAGCTAACCTCAAATGACGTCAAGGTAGCCTTAATTAGTGAAGCTGAGAGACGTCGTGTGCGTGGGGATCATCCTTCTTCGGAGGCGGCACTACTTATAGAAGCAAAGAAGAGGACGCAGAAGAAGAACAAACCAATCGTCTGCTATGACTGTAATCAGCCGGGCCATAAGAGACCAGACTGTCCACTACGGAAGGAAAAGTCAACTAATAAACGAGAATCCAACAGAAATGGGTCATCAGGAGCAAGCAATGGTTCAACTAACAAGAGCCAACACACCACGCTGCTGACACGTGCTTTGGAAGTTACATCTTCTGACTCTTCTGAGAATTCTGAGGTAACCCAACCTATGATGGAGACGAGGGTCATGGTGACAAGAGGACAATCCTCTGGATGGGCCGTCGACTCTGGTGCTACCTGTCATATGTCGAGGAGCAAGACTCTGATGTCTGATATTGCTCCAAGCACAACAGCTATTGCCATGGCTGATGACAGAAAAATGAATTGTGGAGAAATGGGTAATATGAAGTTGGAACTCAATAACAATGGTACTAAAGTTGTTAAAATTGCCAAAGATGTATTGTACACTCCTGAACTAGCTACCAGTTTACTGTCAGTTGCTAAATTAACTGATAAGGGCTTTAGAGTAGTTTTTGATGATAAATCATGTGATGTATATCATAATTCTGACTTTGAGGTTGTGGGAACTGTAGAGTTTAAGGGGACTAAGAATGATATAGGGTTATACATGTTGAATCAATATCAATCTGAACCAGAGAGAGCTTTTACTTTAGTGAAATTGTCTAAAAATGAATTGTGGCATAAAAGACTAGGTCATTTAAGCCGTATGGGAATGAACCAACTAAAAAATGGTCTTGTAACTGGGTTAGATTTTGAAGAATGTGATCGCAGGTCATGTATAACTTGTCTTGAAGGAAAGCAAACAGCGTTACCATTTCCTAAAAAGGGGAAAAGAGCGAAAGAAATTCTGGGGATTGTTCACTCTGATGTCCAAGGCCCGATGGAAGAACCTTCATGGGGCGGAGCCCGTTTTTGTCTGATATTTATTGATGATTTTTCTCGTAAGACGTTTGGATATATGTTGAAATCAAAAGATCAAGTTTTTACTAAATTCAAATTATTTAAAATCATGGTAGAAAATCAAACAGGTAAAACTATCAAATGTTTAAGATCAGATAATGGGGGGGAGTATATTTCAGGTGAATTTGAAAGATTTCTGGCTGAGTGTGGAATAAGACATCAAAAGACAATAAGGTACACTCCCCAACAAAATGGAGTTGCCGAAAGGTCTAATCGCTCTAATATGGAGCGAACAAGATGTTTGTTGTTTGAGTCTAATCTTTGTAAGAGATACTGGGCGGAAGCAATGAATGTAGGAATTTATCTAAAAAATAGGTCACCTACTAAAGCGGTAGTAGGAGCCACTCCTGAAGAGGTGTGGACAGGGGAAAAAGTAGATGTTTCTCACCTCAAGATTTTTGGGTGTCGTGCTCAAATGCAAGTCCCGAAACAAAAGAGGCATAAATTGGACAAAGTGTCAAAACCTATGATTTTTGTAGGGTATGATGAAGAAACAAAAGGCTATAGGTTGATTGATCCTGATTGTCCAAATCGTGTTTTTGTTGAAAGGAATGTTGAATTTTTTGAGCATGATTTTGTCAGCACAGTGGAACAATCCAAAACCAACATTGAGTCTGAACCAGTAGTGAATCAAGAAGTGGATATACAGATTCCAATTACCGAGGAATTGTATCTTCAAGATGCCAATGGAGTGGGACCAGGAGGGGCCAGTGAGGGTCACTCATATACTTTGGAATCACAAACAGAATCTGAAGATGAGGATTTAGAAGGTTTGATTGATGTTGAAAATGAATTTCGTGGTTTTGATGATCCTGAACCAAATCTCATTGGGGGAAGGTATCCAAAACGAAATAGAATATCAAAAAGAGATAGTGATTATGAATATTCTTTTCTAGCTGTAAGTCCTCATGGTCCATCAAATTTGAATGATGTATACAATCGATCTGATAAATCTCTATGGGAGGAAGCCATGCGGAATGAATTAAGTTCACTTGAAAGCAATCATACATGGACATTGGTAAAAAGACCAGATGACCAAAATATTGTAAAATGTAAGTGGGTATTCAAACTTAAAAGGGGAATGAATGGATCTAAACGCTACAAAGCAAGATTGGTTGCAAAAGGCTTCACACAAGTTCCCGGCAGGGACTATGATCAAACTTATGCTCCTGTTGTTCAGCTTGCATCACTTAGATTATTGTTCGCACTTAGTGCTCAATTAGATCTCGAAATTGATCATATTGATGTTACTACGGCTTTCCTGAATGGAGATTTATCAGAAACAATTTTGATGGAACAGCCAGAAGGATTTGTGGTGAAAGGAAGTGAAAATAAAGTCTGCAAATTGAACCGTGCCATCTATGGGCTCAAACAAGCAGCAAAATGTTGGAATGATAAGATTCATGATCTTTTAATGATAATTGGATTCAAACGCTCTAATTATGATGATTGTGTGTACATGAAGCGAAATGAGAGTGGTTGTATTGTAATTGGTCTACATGTAGATGATTTTTATATTTTCTCTAATTCCAAAAGTGAGACTGGTGATTTGAAAAGTAGGCTTGCTGAAGCATTTGAAATTAAAGATCTGGGAGATGTTCAAGAATGCTTGGGGATGAGAGTTAGAAGAGACAGAACAGAGGGTACTATTAAGCTCGACCAAGGCATTTATGCCAGAGATATTTTGTCTAGATTCGGTGAGGTGAACTGTAATTCTGTCTGTACACCAATAGAAACTGGTACCAAACTGATCAAACCTGATAAGGGCTGTAATAATCCAGTTTATCAGCAAATAATTGGTGCACTAATGTATTTATCAGTAGGCACTAGGCCTGATATTTGTTTCGCAGTAAGTTATCTTAGTCAATTTAACTCTTGTAATAATGATGAACATCTGAATGCTGCTAGGAGAGTTTTGAAGTATCTCAAGGGAACACTTGATTTAGGAATAGCTTATTCAAAAGGAAATTACATTTTAGAAGGTTATGCAGATGCTGATTATGGAAGTTGTTTGCTAGATAGAAAATCCTATACAGGTTTTGTATATATATTTGCACAAGGTCCAATAAGTTGGCGGTCCCGAAAGCAGAGGACAAAGACATTGGCCGATAGTACCACTTTTGCTGAATATGTTGCGATAAGTGAATGTGGAAAGGAAGGGATTGGTTTACTTGGTCTACTAAGAGAACTGTATGCTAAACAAAATGACCTGATAATATTTAATGACAATCAGGGAGCGGTCAAAGTTTGTCATGGGCAATCATCCCAAAGTAAAATTAAGCATGTTGATCTAAGATATCATCAAATCAAACGTTGGTTAAAGAAAAATATTGTTAAAGTTGAATATTTGCCTGGTGAAAAAATGATTGCAGATTTTTTGACAAAAGCTCTCTCTGGGGTCAAGCATACATTTTGTGTTACTGGGATTGGTATGAAATGAGATGTATTTTATTTATCGATAGCTTAAGTGAGGGTGTTGGAATTCATAGTTTGTA